CCCCCCCACACACACACACAGCCATTACGACACATGTAGAGATCGTATCCAAAAACCTAGGCAAGTAGGCACATAAATGGTGATCACAAGATCCCAGAGCAATGGTTTTTTTAAGCCAAGGTATTTAGAGCATCTTCTAATATTTATGACTTTAAGGGGGCAGGTAAAAAGAGCAGTCGTTTTATTGACTTAATAGGTATGCACCGATACTAGTATTGGTGCCAATACCGAGTATTTGGGTGTGTACTCGTACTCAATACAAGAACTGGGATTGTTTTACTCCTGGAGATCCGTGCTCATTCAGTTACCCTTTTACAGTGGTCTGTCAACCGTATCAGTAACCTGATAGCAGCATACAAGAAAAAACAGGGTGGACTGCCTCCACAAAACAACCCAACCAATTAGGCAAATTAGATGTGAAAAGGTTTTTATTTGCATGTTTTCTTTTAAACTTCTGAATACGTAACACACGGATGACTGTCTTGCACATTTCAAGAAACTTCAGACAAATCAATACAAGTGAGGTCTGATTAGATGATGGCCGACAGGTGAGGATCTAGTTCAAATACATCCTACACCCGGAAGCCTGCACGTCTTGACGAAGCCCCTGGGGGAGGGGTGAAACGCGTAAACGCTGTAGAGGGAAAATCGGTGAATGACTAAAACTAAAAACCAGACACCATGCTCTAAAAACCCACACCCTTAATACTTCCTTGAAACCCACAACGGTCCTACGATTTGGATATTCTAAATATATCTCTAACCAACAACGAAGTGCCTGCCACCATTGGACTATCTAGGAGATATCGGGGACTCTACACACATCCTCAGCTGAGGTATTCCTGGACTTTATAACAAATAGGATCAATAAACCTATGAAAAAATCAATGCGAAAATCCCCACCCCCCACCCAAAGGTTATGAGAGTTGAAACTACGGATAATCTTGTTTTCATTTTGTTTTTTTTCACTTTTTGATACGTTGTTTCCAAAAAAGGGGGGGGGGGGATC